GAATATATTATTTATGTTCCTTTTAAAATTTTTTAATTTACACGAAAGTTATGATTGTGACTAGAAAAAAAAAGATGAAAAATATGATTTTAATGGAGAATTTTTTTATTTTAGAGAGATTAATCTAATTTTTAACATTTTAGCTTGTTAGATTTATTAATTAGTGATCAAGAACAATTTATCAATTACGATTTGAAGATTTTATAAATATAAAATTTGATAGGTTATTAAGTTTAATTAGAAAGTTTCAAATTGTTGATATATTTCATAATTATAGTTACTAAAATATCAATTTTTAATTTCTTATATTTATTTTGATTTTTAAGCAAATCTTCTATTTTTCAATAAAAAGAAAATCAATTTTTATTTTTGCATTTATCCAACCGCAATCGCAAACACTCGAGGGAAACAGCATTTGGATTTGAGAGATTTGGAGCGACACGGAGCGGTATACGGCATTTTCCATGATTGTTGTCAAACGCCAACAATCGCTACCGTCCGCAAACGCAGCGATGGTAGCGAGTGAATCAATCAACACCTATCTATCTACTATATAAAAGTTGAATAACTATCTCCATGGGATGTCACCTCAGCTCACAAAAAGGCCACGTGTCTACAATTAATAAAGGTTGAATAAAACAAAATAATTTATGGTCTACGACTTTTCATCTTTTCTTCAACGGTTATATACTCATCACGATTCTCTTTTCTATTTCTATACACAAACAATCTGATCGGCTGACTTTCAACGAACCTGTGATGTCTTTCATCTCCTTCTCTTGCATTCTCTTCCATGAACCAAAACAAGTCTGATTGAATTTGGCCAATGATACAAAAAAAACTAAATCTCTGTTTTTTTCATTGTTATCAGAAACTCTGCCAATTGCCATGTCAATCACATCCTCCATCGTAATGTCAAAGGTTAGTTATGATTTCTTCTCTAAGCACCAACACACTTCATTGAAAAGTCTGAATTTGAGGAACAATATTGACAGCATTAACTTTTGATTTGTAATAGTTATTTTGAGGATTTATTGCTTTAATTATGTGTCTGATTCTGTTGCTGCAAGAATGTTTCTAATAGTTTATGGTTAGTGTGTCTGATACTTACTTTATTGTTAATCTCTTCGTACATTTTTTTGTGCCAGTTTTTCATTGTGTTCATTGGCAAAAGTAAACCTTATAGGTAGCAAGTATCAATACTATATAAGCAGTGCGAGTCTGGGTCTTGTAGGTTAGTTTCTTTGACATGGAAGCAACAACAAGGTAAGTGGCAGTCTCAAAAGACAGGTTACACGGCAATAACAATTGGATTTACACTTTTTCAAAAAAAAAAACAATTGGATTTACATTTCGCTCTTGATATATAGTTCTTACTTAATTATTTGACTCTTCCTCTCACCTTTGTGTATAACATGTTGTTCATATGAAAAAAGAAAATTGTTCATATGCTTGTGTTTGAGAACTTTAACGCAAAATGGTAATCTCGTTTTCCCCTTCCAAATGCTCAGATTTTCTCCAATTTACATGTACATGTTACCAATTCGACATGGATCCCATATTTGGTATGACGAATGTAGTATTTTTGGATTAATGATATTTA